CTTTGTTGGTCTTAAAGGTGCCCCTGGACTCAAACTTTGTTCTGTTGCTTCAGACCGACTCAGCTACCCACCTGAATCTGTCTTCACTGGAAAAGGAAGGGAGAGTACAAGTCTATCCTTCTGATCTGCTACATCAAGGTTCTGAGACTAGGAACCCTGCATCTGTATTGGGGCACTATGTTCGGTTTTCACAGGAGGGTCCTGATTTTCAAAGACCTTTCCAGTGCCTAGTACTGCATTCATACAGGGAGGAACCTTAAACCAATTAGACCATGTTATTAATAGTACACAGAGCCCGTACCTGCAGGCAATGGATTGGATCTCCATCTAACTTTCATGCATGAAAGTGTGACTTCTCTGACTCCTCCCTCTCATTGCAGCATGAAATGCCCCCCCCCCCGAAATGCTGTTCCTAGGGGATTGGTCAGCATGAGAGCTGCCATAGAGAGTTAAAATCATACCCCCCCCCCCCCGCATACAGATCTTTTCCAGAGGATCCAACCCAGTAGTTCTAACCGAAGTCCACTGAATAAGGCCAGGGCAAGTTCTGCACCACCTTCAAGTATTTACTTAAGCTATACCAGACTGCTGATGGCTTCCGTTCCCTAAGACATTACAGGTGGACTTGCTGGAACAAGGCCAAGTCAGGTTGCTGAGTCCGAACAAGCTAGAAAACTACAGCTTCAAGATCTGGGTGGTGCTGTGACACTGCAACAGCATATCTTCTGAATATCAGTATAAGAAAACCACCGCTGTGCTGTACGGTGTCGGCAGGTCTTTAAGATGTAAATAATAATTTTAAGTGCTATGTGCAGAAATGTGAAATTTATATGTTGTGTTTTTATGTGAATCTTTTGACAAAACCAATTAAAAGATTACTAAAAAAAAAAGAAAAGAAAAGAAAACCACCGCTCACTATATGAAGAGAATACCACTAAATATAACGGGCAATAACTTCTTTACCACTTACTAGATAGCCTGCTTTAAAAAAGAGGAATAATGAGAATATAGCATTGGAATAATGGGATATAACAAACCACATATAAACCCAGTGAGATGCAACCACCACACCACAAGCAAACTGTTGCTACTATTTCAGTCTGCTGGACCAACATACTCTTGTGCAAAAGAAGAACAGCTTGGTAATATTGCTCACAAGAATACGTTGCTAGATGATTGCAGGGGTTTTTTTGTAGAAAAAGCCCAGCAGGAACTCATTAGCATAATAGGCCACACCCAACAGCAGAAATATATTAGCATATTAGGCCACACCCCTGACAGAGCAGCTCATTAGCATATTAGGCCACACCCCCACATTACCAGAAGTGTGGTCATTCAGCCACACCCACCTTTTGCTTCTTATTCTGTTTACCTTGTTTGTTGTCAAAACCCAGGGCTTTTTTTGTAGCAGGAACCCTTTGCATGTTAGGCCACACACCCCAATGTAGCCAATCCTAATGAGTTTCTGCTGTTGGGTGTGGCCTATTATGCTAATGAGTTCCTGCTGGGCGTGACCAACTCGGGAGCCAGCCGGAACTCTGTTCCTGTGCGTTCCTGCCCAAAAATAGCCCTGGATGATTGCAGAAGCAGTCAGTTAGAAACACTGTATAATTTCACCATTCAATGGTACTAAAATGGGGTTGCAAACATGGATCGCCTTAGCTAGAAAGTACTGTTAAATATACAAAGTGAGCAGGTTCTTCTTGATTGTGCAAGTTTTACCCTGTCCAGAATCACTTCCCCTAAAAAAGCCAATGCTTCTTGTCAGTTCTGGAAACAACTCAGACGCACATATAAGAAGGCTGCCTGACACCTGTTCTCGCATTCCTCAAAGCGTATTCACTTTGCTTGATTGTAGTAAAAGCAAGTTAACATCCAGCCACTCTCAGCAGTAGACATTGCTCCAGATGACTGAGGTCAGCTGACTGGAAAAGCCACTGTGTGTAACATAGCCAACACATGCAATGGACATGGAGCATCAATGACTTGATGTCAACAGCCATAAGAGCCTTTAAACATACTTTTGATAACTTCAGCTTTGTTCAGTTTGCTCCTTAGAAATATGTTATTACTTGAAGTTTTGTATTGGTTTGCAAAAGAGACAACACATACCCTGCTAGAAGAGTTACCATAGATTTGAAATACAGTTGTTTCTTCTAACCATGACAATATTTTCTTGGTTGCTGAATGCATGTGGGCTTGAAACACAAATCACAAGATAGTGAAGGTAAGTGTTACCTTGATTTAAGAGAAGAGTAAAATGTGTTGATACATGGATGTTTAAGGCACATTTTGGCACTATGCTTTCAAAGTTTAGCGCCACTGAAAAGCGTAAATAGGCATTTTAAAAAAATCAATGAAACAGTACAAGTCACTGGGGTAGAGGTGACTGGTTTCCAGCAAGATCCCCAGTGCTGACACTTAAAAATATTGGTCCTCCTGATCTACTGAACATTAGTAGTTCTCAAGTTTCAATTAGTTCCTCCAGCTTTCAGTGAGACTTCTGAAATGAGAATGAAAAATTCAGAATTTTGGCCATGTTTTGATATGGCTTGGACAACCATGTTAATTAGCAATTTAACAGGGTCAAAATGCAGACGTTTTTTTAAAAGGTAAACTGAATACGTTGTTCTAATGAAAAAAACAAAACTGTCTATAGTAATTTGGGTCTGCTCAGATGTTATCCAATTGTATTGTTCTGTATCTATATTGGAGCAAACAGCAATTTTTGTTACTCTGATTAGGCAACAAAGAGCAGCTTGAGAATCCACAAAGGAAATTATTTCATTGTAAAATGAGTTCACAAGGGGACATCTTCATTTAAGCATGGAGCTACTATTTGGAACTACACAAGACTTCAAGACAAGGTCTGGACTTACTTAACATGGATCTAACGGTAGTCTTGAGCCGGTTTAGTTCAAACCAAAGATTAATACATGATGACAGTTCCAAAGCAGTCCTTCAAAGGAAGGAGGAAATTAAAATTTCTTAGAAAAGTATAAAAAGAAATTCCAAAACAGAGCTTTGTTTTTCCATTGTTACTCTAGGATTTTAAAATGATTTCTTAGAACTTGCCATGCTGTAAATAATTGTTGATTTAAATGCCTGCAGCAACAGCTGTGGAATGCTCTGGGTTCCTCCCATATTTTAATGGCAATGATGTCATAAGTGGCAAAATTTCTAAGCTCTCTTTGTAATTATGCCACAAGCACATATCTACTAAGCTATCCATTTTTCTTCTTCTTTTGTACACACTAGATTTATTTTTGCAGAACAAGCCTTTAAGTACAAAATGGATAATAGACATTCCTGTCATTTATGTGCACTAAAATCAGTGGATTTTTTGAGATCATATTTTACTTGTGCAACAGAATGAAACACATATCTAAGGGTTTTGTTTGCAATAAGGATACTAAAAAAACAATACTTGCTCAAAGTCTACATAGGCAATTTACATTATCAGTGGTGGTGAAGCAAGTGGAACACTACAGACATTCTAGGGGAAAGACCAGACTGAGTGGTAAGCAGCTTATTTCCATGCATAGGCATCTACAGTTAAATGGATTTCAGTAGCAGTAATGGGAAATAGCCCTGGTTGAGACAGTGGACAGCCCTCATCAGACACAAGAAACAATAGTGGTTTAATTCCAAAGGGGTAGTTGGGTTAGTCTATTGCAGCAGACATAAACAGCAGTCTTGTGGCACTTTAAGGTAATACACTCGTTAACAGATGCACAGTGCAGTCTTAAGGAGAGTTACACTATTCTATGGCCATTGACTTCAATGGATTTAGAAGAGTGTAACTCCACTCCATTTGCCAAGATAGTAGTACCTGTAGAGAGTAAGCAATCCCAGAATCCTGTTCAAAGCCACAATGAGAAGGGGGAGATTACCTCTTGGCAACACCTAAGATCTCCACCCATTACAGGGTTAACTACCTCTCTATTTTTCTTGATTTCAATTTGGTAGCATTACATTTTACCTTCTACGTCCTGCATTTCGTAGCCCATTGACCCTGCTGTTTTTTTTCTCTCATTCCTCCCACATGAAGTTTCTGCCTAGTGAGAATCCACTCATTACATCTGAAGAAGTGGGTACTAGTCCACCAAAACTTATGGTGGAATAAAACGTTCTTAGTGCCACAAAACCGCTGTTAATATTAGGTTAATTGTACCACTGCCCTGAATCAAAATTCATAATATGGCTTTCTTTTAGTCAGTGTGTCTAATAACAAGCTGGAGTTTTAAAGCATACTTAAACATATTCATCTTCATTGCCTTGATGATCCCAGAGCTCAAGCGTCAATTCTCTGGGCCTCGTGCAAACATGTTACTCTCCTCCCACCCACCATATACATATGATCCCATCCTATACACACAATCTCACGGACTCTGAAAGAAAGAAAAATCCATTTTATTTCTGAAATGGTATAAATAGACCACATCATAGCAAAAAACGTGCAGCACAGACTGCCCTCCCCCCCCCAGACCTGGCAAAGTGTACCCATTTCCCCCACCACAGCCACCATTTCCTCCGTGACACATTAAATGCCAGATTGAAATTTCTAAAGAGCCAGAAATATTAAGTCATTAACAAGGAGAGCCAACAGTTCTTTCAATTTACAGGCAATTTATAAAAAGTTGATAGCACTGAGCTTGAGTTATGATGACCACATATCCATAACCTATACAATAAGACCCATTAATGTCTAAATACCCAGTGGCCCTGATCCAGGGAGAATCTGTCATGCTCAAGTCTAACTGAAATGTTCACTGCTACTAACCTGTCCCATTGATTTTTACTTAAGTGTGATTAATGTTCTCTGGCTCGGGAGATGACTGGGTCAAGGCAAAAAGAACAGAAAGCACAAGAGTAAAACTCTAGCAACAGACAAACAAATCCAACCTCAACAACAGGAAGGTGCTGCACTAATGTTACGTTAAATTATTTTGTTCTTATGGGAAGAACAAACTAGGAAATAAGGTAAACGAAATCCTCACCCAAAAGTGCGCATGGCAGTTAACCATCATGGTCCTCTCGATCAGCTCATCAGGACATTCCAGGAGATGATGTCCAGAGACCACGCCAGCATTATTAACTAGGACTGAGACTTCACCAACTTCTTTGCGGACTCTCTCAGCAGTCGTGTAGACATTCTCCCTTTTGCTCACATCGCAAGTGTATGTATGCACCTGCAGGTTGTAGTGAGGTAGCACTTCCTCTTCTCCATGCCCAGCTGATGGCAGGAACACAAGACAAGCAAAATGGGGTGGGGTGGGGGAAGAACCTCATTAGAGATTTCAGATCAAAACATAGCAAACCATGATTAATTTACCCATTCTGATGAGATTCTTTTGATTCATTCTAAAGGATGAAGGAGCTGTGCTAATTCATATCACTTATGGACAAAAGGGATAAACAATTGGAGCTGTGTCCAGTGTTCTCTCTAATCCCCCCCCCCTCGAGCGAAGCAGTTCACATCCTGAGCAGAATATAACTGCTGTAATCTTAAAATCAGCAATGGGCAGTGCAAGACCCTGCGTCGCTCCAGACTGCTGCTGAGCGGGGCTTCCTGTGTTAATGAGCGCCTGCTCACGCACACAGCTTAGAGGGAACACTGTCCTATGACTCCCTTCCACCAAGTCTTTCTACATCAGAAGAAACCTTTTTCCATCAGAGAAAGCCTTAGCAGAAGAGAGTAATTCAGTCATAGCCAGCCAGCATTTTAACTCAATCTCACCTAATTCCACTTTACCACAGCGTCCACTGCACAGGTCATTTGTCCATGCTTGCCCTCTGATCCCCAGGATAGACTTTTTGGTGGTCCACCAGTGGAAAAGCTGGTTGGATCCAATGCAACAGATCCAATTTAGTGTAGGAAGTCATAAGATCCAACCCCTAGGGTCCAATGGATAATACAAGAAGTACCCGAAACAAGGCGTGGAGCAACATTGGTCTAAGCATGGAACATTCAGTGCATTCCACTTCAAATAAAACATCTGGATTGAAGATCAATGAGAATGGATCATCCTATGCACAATTAATCAGACAATAAGTACCAATTTCTGGGGTTTTCTTCATAGTATGAACAGGGCAGCACTCTGACTCTGGTTTAAAACTGGAATACTAAATCTTAATCGGTTTGGTGTGTAAAAGGTACAGAAGATCTAAACTAAATACAATTAAGCAAGTTAAAAATTGGCTTCACCCTGTTTGAATAATATGCTAAACAACTGTGTCACTCCAGCTTTTCCACATTAAACACACTGCACAGCACCACAAGGTTCCCACTTAAACGTATTCCCATTTCACCATCTACAGGGCGATTACTGTTTTGCCAGCCACTAGTCTCTTTAAAACTGGCTGTTCTTATAATCTCCCTCAGAATACACAAACAAATCCACAGAGAAAAATCAGAGGCTGAAATACTGGTCCATACTTCTTCCCCTGCCTGGGTTTATTTATTTTAGTTTCCTGAATTCTTAGTGTTCCTACTTGACGCAAGATTTAATTTAAAGAATTTAGATCGCCTCAGACTATAATTTCAAAGCCACTTATTTTCTTCAATTTCAATCTTACAGGGCATTTTTAGAAATCAGAAGTAGCTACCCTGCACGTACATGATCATCTCTTATTATGGTAGAGATTTACATCTTTTTCTACACTTCTGGTGTGTGGAAACTAGAGAACATACCCAACAATCAGATGTGGACAAAACCCAACCTTTTTGTACTCTTAGCACTTGACTCTTCTCTCCCCCTCTTTCTTGTCCCTTTCAGGGTATGAAAAACTTTTAAATACTTTTACAGCACAATCCTAAACCATGTTACACCCATCAAAATCTACTGAAAGGGGTAAGTCTGTTTAGCATTGCTCTATTCCTTTGAGATCCTTTGATGAAGCAACAGGTAAAAAGGCACCCTGGATAAAGCGGCAGGAAAAGTTGTACAGGATCTGTCCTACCCCCCCACCCCCAGCCTCTTAGAGAAGTCTCCTATCATGGCCATCTCTGCCCTACTACTAGATAGCTCCTCTCTAGTGCCCAGACCAGTGTAACATTTTGTGATTTTTTAAAAAACAACCAAAATCCCTCAAGCCCTTGAAGCCAGGCAGATCTTGAAAGGTAACCCAAAACATTTCCTTGATGTTTCTCAAGCGCAGTCAACCTCCCCCCTGAAACGTCTGCTGATCGCCCTCACACCCACGCTTTATTTTCACGTCTCTCCTTCCGTCTGACTTCCCGGTAAGGCTGAACTGGGGGGGGGGGGAGTCCCGGCTCACCTTTCTGGGCGGCGGCGGCGGCTTCTTCGGCGACCTCCCGGTAGATGTGGCGCACCATGCCCGCCTGCGCCTCGTTGCTCTGCGTGTTGATGTCCCACAGCACCAAGCGCGCCCGACGGCGGGCGAACTCCAGGGCGAAGAGGCGGCCCAGCCCGCTGCCGGCGCCGGTGATCAGGCACACCTGGCCCGCCACGCTCTTCTCCTTGGGGCGCATGAACCACTTGGCCGCCGCCACCACAAACGCCCAGAGCACCTTGAACGTAACCACGAAGAACTCCAAGATGATGTTCATGGCTGCGGCTCCCGTGGCGACGGGGAGGCTGAGCGGGCGGCTGCTACTGCCCCGCCGGACTGGCCGTGTGGAGAGCGGCGCCCGGGCGCAGTCCGGAGGCGAAGGGAGCGCCCCGCTCGGAAGGGCAGGGAAGGGAAGGCGACCGGCACCGAAGCCGCCAGCGGCCAAGCCTCTCCCCCCGCCTGCGGGCACCTGGCTGGGACTCCGCCGCAGCCTCCCAGCCAACCTGGCCGCTTCCTGCTCCTCCTCAGTGCCCAGAAGCCCTCGGCCGGCAGGGCAGAGAGCGAGCGAGTGCAGGCAGGCAGGCAGGCAGGCAGGCGAGCTGGAAGAAGGGCTGAGCCCAAAGAGCCCCGCTACCTAACCGCCCCCTCGGACTGACCTGCAGGGCGAACTGAGACCCAGCAAGTTGGACGAGCCCCTGAGCATAAGTTTGTGCTCAGACGACCCCGTCGGGCGCGCTGGGAGCGGGCTCGGCTGCCGCCTCTCTCACCCGCACCCCCGGCTCGGGTGAGGGGAGCAAAGGCGCGCTCCGCTGCCACCTTCCCGGCGGAGGGGCTCCCGAGCCGCGCGCCTCCCGCCCTGCGCCTACCTGCCCCCTTCTGCCTCGCGGCCGGGCCACAGCTCAGCACCTCCGCGCCCCTGAGAGTGAGCATTTTCCCACCGCTCGGGGCTCTATATAGCCCCGACGAGAGGGAGGCAGCCCCCCCTCCGCCATCTCTCCCGCCCCCAACCCCCTCAGAGTCAGACCCGCTTCCCAGACCTGTCCCTCCTCCTCGCCCATTTTGCATTCCTAGGCCTTCCCCCGTCACATTTCCGCCCTCTTCGCCCGCAGCACCGCCCCTTGTTCAAGGGAGAGACCATCCCAGCCACGCCAGCCGCACGCCAAACGCCTGGCGCGCCGCTGGGCCCACCCGGCAGATGATAGGCGAAGCTGCATTCAGACGGCACACGAGCAAAGAGAAGGCGAGACGCTTTTCTTCCGGGCGCGAAGAACCCCGAGCCGAGGACTGCCTGGATTCTGCAACCTAACTCTGGTCTGTCGCGACGTCTGAATGCGGGCGCCTGGACAAATCGGAGTTTATTTCGTGCCCACACCATTCTAAGCCACGCTGGTAAGAGGGAGTGTTCCCCTTCCTCTCTCCTCAGTGGTTGTTGCCAACGTTGGCGCAGGCTGTCAAAGGCTGAAGTCCAATGCACATGTTCTTTGGGAGCAACTCCCGTCGGAATCAGTGGCTCTTTTGAACAGATGGAGCTGGAAGCGCGCGGTTGCCTCTGATGTACCATCCATTGCAACCACTCGTCTTTCTCCGTCTTCGCCCACAGTCCTCTATTCCCGAAGACCAAATGCTTCGGACGCGCCTAAGCCCTGGGACTTCAAAGGACTAGTAGGAATACTGATTTACTAGTGTGTAAAAAAGAAAGAAAGAAAGAAAGAAAGAAAGAAAGAAAGAAAGAAAGAAAGAAAGAAAGAAAGAAAGAAAGAAAGAAAGAAAGAAAGAAAGAAAGATCTTTTCAGGAGAGGCGTCCCTTCCATCACCTGCCATTGCAGAGCACCTTATAGGTGTGAAACGCAATCCTAAGTATGTTTACTCAGAATCGAGCTTCGCTGATGGGACTTATTCCCCGCTATGTGTGCATAAAAATCAAAGCCGATCAGGCATCGTTCAAGGTGTCGCCTCATAGCCTTGTATGAAAAATAGCGGGTTTTGTGTTTTCCGGTTGCTCTGATCCTGGGAGACTAGGAAGGCAAGAGAAGTGGACTACATGCTCCAGAATCCATAGTGGTTCCTTGTAGTGTAATGTGGTGCCCTCCTGAGCGCCTGCAACGCACAAAGACTACAAGTCCCACAACGTATTGAGACTCACTTAAGATTTCTTCCTGTCCCTATGTTCGGTAAACTGGAAAACGCATTCTGGGAACTGTAGTTTTTGAGTTAACACTTTAATTTCCCATGACCACTATGTACTAGTTTCTTTCCTGACCACTTTATTATGTTTTTAAGTACCTTTTCTATACCGTTTATTGATTTATTTTTATTTCATTTAACATATGATGAAGTGAACTCTGATTCACAAAAGCTTATGCTGTAATAAATGTTGTTAGTGTTTAAGGTACCAATTACTGGACTTTTATTTTTATACAAAAAGCAGTTTACATGGCTGCATATCCAAGTAAAACAGAAGTCTAATGGCCCCTTAAAAACCAATGACAGCATACTGAAATAAATGTTAACTGTCTAAGGTGCTACTGGCATTTTGTTTTACTTTGCTACAACATACTAACAGGGCTATCCTTTTGTAATCATGCATTTCTAAGCACAGTTATAAAGGAATAAGCCAAACTTAATCGAATTAATTTCAGAGAACTGTACTCATGTTTGTTGTTCAGTCGCACAGTCGAGTCCGACTCTTTGCGACCCCATGGACCACATCACACCTCTTGTTATAATTTCAAAATTAATTTTCTCTGGAACCACAAAGAAATATTTCCCCAATATTCTAAACAAGTTTTAATAGTTATGAATAGATTGTTAGTATAGCTCATAATCTCAGATTTCAAGGCCTCAGACTTTGAAGACACAAGAAATCTGGGTTCAATCAGCCATTAAAAGAAATAAGTCTTGCTAGGATTTATTTCTGGGTAAACATTCCAGACTGTGGGTGACATTAGGCCGGTCATTTTCCTCAGCCTAACCTGCCTCACAAGGTTGTGGGAATAAAATTTGGGAGGGAAGTACCATTGAGCTCCTTGTATGAAGGGTGCAAAAGGAGGATTCAACACACTGGTTGACTGAAACATAGGGCTGCCAACTCCAGGTTAGGAAATTCCTGGAGATTTGGGGGTGGCACCTGGGAAGACTGGGGTTTGGAGAGAGGAGGGATCTCAGCAGCAGGGCCGGCTCCAGCTAATTTTGCACCCTAGGCGAGGATCCCTTATGCCCCCCCCCCCGTGCGCCCACCAATTTTCAAAAATAAATGCATTTTAGGAACAATGAAAAACACAAATAATCAAGAAACTCCCAGAGTACGGGGCCGGGTGCAGTTTGGTGCCCCTAAGGGCCATCCCGCTCTAGGCGATCGCCTAGTTCGCCTAGTGAGTGAGCCAGCCCTGCTCAGCAGGGTATAATGCTATCTAGTCCACGCTGCAAAGCAACAGTTTTCTCCAGGGGATCTGATTTCTGTAGTCTGGGTTTCAGGTGTAATTCTGGGAGATCTCCAGGCTCCATAGGTTTCCAGCTCTGAGTTGGGAATTATTTGGGGAGTTGAGCCTGAGGAAGGGGGGGGGGGGGTTGGGGAGGGGAGGGACTTCTATGGGGTTTAATGCCATAGAATCTACCTTCCAAACTGGCCATTTTCTCCAGGGGAACTGGTCTTTGTCACTGGTTGGTTGTAATAGTGGGAGATCTCCAGTCACTACCTGGAGGTTGGCACCCCTACAGTATCAAAATGATCTCTCTCTCTCTCTCTCTCTCATGCAAAAAGTGTTACTGAAACCATAGAATCTATGTAATATAGTGGGTAGGTCCATAGTACCTCCAATTACAGTCTCATTGTCTGTTTGGAGAATTCTCTGGTCACATTAACAGTGCAATCCTCACTCCGTCTGACCTCAATGGGATTTACTCTCATATAAGCATGCATATGGAGCTGCGGTAGTTCAAGTGGTTAAGACGCTGAACCTGGGGAATGTGGACGGGTACATAGAACCTGGAGCTGCGGTGGCTCAAGGGGTTAAGATGCTGAACCGCAGGCTTTGGAAGGTCGGTAGTTCATCAGTTCGAGACCCGAGTGTGCCGCATGACGGAGTGAGCTCCCGTCTCTAGTTCCACCTCCTGCCAACCTAGCAGTTCGAAAGCAAGAAATTGCAAGTAGATAAATAGGTACCACTACAGTGGGAAGGTAACAGCGTTCCGTGTGCCTTGGTGTTTAGTCATGCCGGCCACATGACCACGGAAACGTTTTCGGCCAGCGCTGGCTCTTCGGCTTTGAAACGGAGATGAGCACCGCATCCCTAGAGTCGGATTCGACTGGCTTTCGAGCAAGGGAACCTTTACCTTTTTAAGTCATGCATATAACTGCAGCCTAGGGAGTTCGGATAGTTTTGTACAGATAAACAGGAGTCTTGTGGCACCTTAAAGCCTAACAAATTTTTATTGCATGGGCAACTATTCCATTTTGACAAAGTAGATTCCGGGCCACGAAAGTTTATGCTAGTTTATTTTATTCTAGCACAAATGTTCGTGGACTAGAGCCCACTTCGTCAGACGCATGTATGGAAACGCAGTAAGAAAAAACACACCAGTTTTTCCCAGAAAAAGAAAAGTTTTTCAGGTGACACCATCACCCTTTCTACTAGCAACATGCTAACTCCTCTGGACCGATAGTTCAAACGTACGGCACCCAAATAGCCAACCCTAACCTCTGTTTTGCTCAGGCAAGGATTTAGTGAGCTAAAAGCATGGGCTGGGTCTTAGCTCTCCCTTGCTCTGAAACAGTGACCGACTCTTTATGTTCACTGCGCATGCGTCGATTCTCTCTTTTCCGGAGGCCACCATGGCGGGTGAAGAGTAAGTATCAGCTTCGTCCTGGAGACAATCCGTTGTCATCCGCGGCTTTTGAGTCTCCCGTTCTCCAGTTCTGCTTCTCAGGCTTAACTGCTGAGTTTTCGAGTGTCTGGCGATATTTTGCTTTTATGTCTGGAAGGGGGTTTGGGTGACAGGAATGTGGTCGGGAACTGGGCAATGGCCTTGCTGCGACGCAGCGTACTGGGGGTGGGTTGGTGTTGGCACTGGGCTCCTTCTCCAGCGCCTGAGGCGAACAAAGTGGAAATGGGGAGGGTTGACACCCGGCGGTCCACAGACTGGTGATGTTACCCTTCTCCCCGTATTTTTAGTCTTGCTACTTGTGTGGGGCGACTTAGGCCCGGCTTTGCCTTCCGGAATCCGCACCGTGGAGGCAGGAATTTACGAATATATGGCAAAGGCTCGAATTCTGTTGTGCTCTTAAAAATGGCTTGATTTTACCGAGCTTGGCTCTAAGTAACAACGATTGGTATTGCCGGCTTTGGAAAGGATGCTTTTTCAAAAATGTTTACGGAGAAGTGTTCTGCGGCGACGTAGATGCAGATGTTCCAGGTGTTTTCATACGTGCATATAAAAACGAGCTGTTTTCTTCTCTAGAAAGTATCATTAGCACAAGATTTGCTTTAGATTCTAAAATGTAAGGGCGAGTTTTAAACTTCCCCTAGAAGGTTTTAAGGTCCGTGTTTCATAAGCATGTTTATATTTGTGCAGCAGCATATCTAAAATAACTATTTAAAAATGCTGCAAAGAATTCCCACAGAAGATGACGATTTTTAAAGACTTTGTTAAACTAAGCAAAGCCATTTGAAATGTAAATGTAGAACAAAATTTGAATGAAAGAAGTTATATGATTAACATGCAGTAGTTTGTTCAGTTTTTTTGTGGCAAATTGAAAAGGCTTTTGGTTTTTTAGAAGAAACATCTATAGTTATGTTTTTCTTTTTACTCCCATAATGTAGACCAAAAAAGAAGGTGCCTTCAGTTCCAGAAAGCCTTTTGAAGAAAAGGAAGGCTTTCGCTGAGATAAAGGCCAAACGTCTGAAGAGACTATTGGTTCAGAAGAAGGTGAGATTTGATAAGATCTGCGACAAACAGTAGCTTGCCTTGAGACTGGTGACAAATGGTGGCATTCCACATAGTCCTAAAACCCTTTGTATAGATGTATGTTGTGACCACATGAGTAATACTGTGTAGGTTCTGGTTGTCATACCTTAAAGGAGATTTCTGCAGAGCTGGAAAAATACAAGAGAGAGCAACTGAGATGATGAAGAGATTGGAGCTTTTTTGTCATGAGAAGAAAGTCTGGGGCTTTCCAGTTTGAAGAAAAAATATTGGGGAATAGTTGTAAAAACTATATATGTGGTATAGAAAATGGATAGAAAGAACTTTCTCACTGTTTTGTAATAGTAGAACTTGGGGACACTCAGTGAAGCTGACGGGCAGTAGAATCAGGACAGACACAATAAGAGCTTGTTTACTTAATGAGTGATTGTAGAATTCACTTCTTGGGGGTACAGTGATGGCAATGAACATGGCTGGCTTTAAAAGCACATTAGATTCATGGGGGATAGTCCATCAGAGGCTACTATTTATTAATTTATACCCTGCTTTCCCCGCCGGAACAGGCTCAGGGTGGCTTACAGACCCACTGGCAATATAAAACATTAAAACAGTAAAACAAAATGGAATCATAAAATAAATTCAGAAGGTGCTACATTTATACAGTGGCGGAATAACTGTCCTTATCATCTACAGTAGGGAGTCTGATCAGCAGTAACTATGAGGCTGGCATCCAGCTCCATATCGTATAGTTTCTTAACATGGGCACAGATGTTAAGAGCAGTCAGCCAAGAATGGATTGTAGGATGCAGGTTCCTTGGTTGATGTTAAGACAGTTGGGTGCAGCATCTCAATCAAACGCTTGGTGGAAGAGCTCTGTCTAGCAGGCCCTGAGGCATTGTGATAAATCCTGCAAGGTCCTGATGTCCTCAGAGAGCTCATTCCACCATGAAGAAAGCTCTAGCCCTAGTTGTAGCCAGCCTGGCATCTTTAAGGCTGGGAAGAACAAGGATTTTGTGATCCTGTCTAGCCTTGGTGACTAAACAGAACCTCAATATCCTGAGGCAATAATCTTCTGATTGCTAGTACTAGGACGCAACTTCAAGGTGGAGCGCTTGGCCTGTGTGTTCTGTTTGTTAGTCCTTCAGGGCAACTGATGTCTAGCCTTGGTGACTAAACAGAACCTCCATATCCTGAGACAATAATGTTCTGATTGCTAGTGCTAGGACGCAACTTCCAAGGTGGAGCGCTTGGCCTGTTTGTTAGTCCTTCGGGGCAACTGTTTGGCCCTGGTGTGAAACAGGATGCTGGACTACCTGGACTATCAAGGATCTGGTCTATGAGGGCACTTAATATGTTTTTCTGGGTTACTGTGCAGTAGACCTGCAGAAGTTTGATTTTTTAAAGCTTGGTGGGTCAACTTTTTTGCATTGTGTATGGGTGGCCTGATCCTAAAGGACTGATCTCTGTCCCAGAAGAGTTTGCAGTCTGATGGAAGTCAAAAAATCTAGTTGTCTAATATACACTGCCGTTTTTTGCATCTCTAGAAACAGCCTTTCTCTTGTACTAGCTCACATCTCCTATCTCCTGTAGCTGTCATTAGATCAAATTTTTTGTAACCTGTTAGCACCATCTTCATGGATATAGAGAAGTTCATGATTTCTTCAATAGTAAGATGTTGATGAACCTTTGAAGAAGTATTTCTCATCTCTTCCAACCTGTTGTGCCACACTGAAAGAACTCCTGTACGCTTGCCATTATCTTCCCCTGACCAGAGCTATGTTCTTCTGACCCTCAACATCA